AGCACTAAGGGGCATTCCGGGCACTTCCCTTGTCTGGCATACTCCCACTTTTTTTTTCCAAATCGCACACACTTCACATTCAAGAAGAACGCGGCTTTGCGGTTACAAATGGAGGGAATAGTAATATCGCGTCCATACTTTGCGGCAGTGTTGCGAGCGAGCGATATCGACCAGCCTTCAGGGCGTTCGCCAGCGTTTTCGGCGATAATCGATACCCACACTTTCTTAGTCGCTCAAAACGCTTTCTGACTGCACAATCTAGCAGCAACTAAAAGAAGCTCACGTTTTCCCAAACAGATCGTTCGTCTGAAGTCAAGTCAGCCAAGTTCAGAGATCGCAAGAACGGCAACGGTTGAAGCAATTTTAGCAGCAAGTCGTTGATCTTAAATAGATATTCTAAGACAATCTACTAATAGATTAATAGGTACTTTATAGATAATCTATTGATTTATTAATAGATTATTTACAAAATACTCTCAAAACTTATTACAGTCATCTCCCCTTACCTGTACGCAAAGCTCTTTCGTAGGTGCAATGAACAGCGCGAACGGCCCTTTTGACTCACCAGAAACGGTCTAAATGTTGCAAACATTGTAAAACATCTCATGGCAGTGTGAGTTAATACTCACTGCAACGTAGCCAATAGCCTTGTTAATAATAGGAATCAAATAGGCTCCTGTCTTGCCGCTTCCCGTTCGGGCTCTCGCCAATATATTTTTATCCTCTAATGCGAGACCAAAGATGGATTCCTGTACTTGCGTCGGCCATTTCCAACCCATATTACCGATTGCCTGCGACAAAGTGATTGAAAACGGGTTCTTTATCCCTAATAAAAATAGACGGACTACTCTTACTGAGCCCACCTTGAGCAATCTTTCGTCAATTTCGAAATCATTGAATGTTTTTGCACCAACTTCTGGAGTGACCACATCGAGCTTGGCTTTCTTTAGTCCCTCAAGTTGTTTCCTTAAGAGGTAATAGTGGAAAATGGGATTTCAAGTAATTGATACAACACATAACTTCAGGCGTTTTTTTGACAGTATTTTCATGGGCTCCTTGCCTACTAGCCATCTTCTATAACCACCTTAAGTGAGCACATATCTAGTACTCCGTGATGATCGGGTGGATGTTCCGCGATAACCAAATGGGTGGAGACAGAAACAACCTCATTAGTAGGCAGAGTTTTACGCCCGTACCTCTTCCTATTATCTTACTGAGCTGCTGTGCATTCAACTAAGAAAAGACGGGGAGGACAGCGCGAAATTGGCACAGAAAAGGAAAATCCTCACTACACCACTCACATATGGACCCATTTGGGTCGTTTCTAATCAACACTCCTACCCGTCCCTCCCTTTCAACATTTTTGTTAGAGAGAAGCCTCAATGAATCGAATAATGGAAACTAAGTTAATGTAGCCTAGCCGAAAATCATTCAAAT